CAAAGAGGGAGAAGAGGACACAAAGCAGGAAGCTAGCGAAGTCGTAGTATATATCGTCAAATAGAACTGCCCGGTAAACCGTAGGCAGAGAGGGAGAAGAGGACATATTTTACCTATTATTTAATTCAGGAAAATTTTGGTAAAATCGGGTCCGCAGCGTGAACCAGAACGGCCGCGGACGCAGCCTCATATGCGGCCGCGATCCGAGATCGGCCCCGCGGACGCGTTCGCGGGTGTTTCATAGGTTGGCTATGGTGGATGGGTGAGGGAGATGGAGGAGGAAGAAGGGGTGAAGGTGGTTGGCTATGGTGGATGGGCGAAGGAGGTGGAGGATGAAAAAGGTTTGAAGGAGGTTGACTATGGTGGATGTGTGAAGGAGGCGGAGGAGAAAAAAAAGGTGCAATGGTGGTTGACTATGCTGGATGGGTGAAGGGAATGGAGGAGGAAGAAGGAGCAGAGGTGGTTGGCCATAGTGGATGGGTGAAGGAGATGGAGGAGGAAGTAGGTGTGAAGGTGGTTGACTATATTGGATGGTTGAAGGAGATGGATGAGGAGAAGGGTGGTTGGCTATAGTGGATGGGTGAAGGAGGTGATGGAGGAAGAAGGAGCGAAGGTGGTTGGCTATGGTGGATGGGTGAAGGAGGTGGAGGAAGGAATGAAGGTTGATGGCTATGGTGGATGGTTGAATGGGGTGGAGGAGGAAGAAGGCGCGAAGGTGGTTGGCTATGGTGGATGGATGAAGGAGGTGGAGGAGGAAGAAGGTGTGAAGGTGGTTGGCTATGGTGGACGGGTGAAGGAGGTGGTTGGCTATGGTGGATGGGCAAAGGAGGTAGAGGAGGAAGAAGGTGTGAAGGAGGTTGGCTATGGTGGGTGGGTGAAGGAGATGGAGGAGGAAGGAGTGAAGGTGGTTGGCTATGGTGGATGGGTGAAGGGGGTGGATGAGGAAGGAGTGAAAGTGGTTGGTCATGGTGGATGGGTAAAGAAGGTGGAGGAGGAAGAAGGTGTCAAGGTGGTTGGCTATGGGGGATGGGTGAAGGAGGTGGAGGAGGAAAAAAGAGTGAGGGTGGTTGCTATAATAGGTGGATGAAGGAGGTGGAGAAGGAAGAAGGGGTGAGTTTGGTTGACTATAGTGGATATGTGAAGCAGGTCGAGGAGGACGAAGAGTTGACGGTGGTTGGCTATGGTGGATGGGTGAAGGAGGTGGAGGAGGAAGGAGCAGTGAAGGTGATCCCTAAGCTTTCGGTCTCATCCTTCCTCTGGTGTCCCAACGTTCGAATAATCAGAAAATTCAGATTTGCAGCAGAGACTCGGACTTTGCTAAACTCAGACTTGCAAAAAAAACTCAGATCACGAAAAACTCAGATTTCTCAGATTTCGATTTTGCCAATTTGACTAGGGGAGGGAGAGCCGAAAAACTCAGATTTTTGTTTGCTGGCCTAAACGATGTCAGATGGCCGTGTGAGTTCATAGAACCTTTGCATACACCCTATCGACGGTCCTCCTAAAATAGGGCCTCATTTTGTCGCCGTTTGCTCCTGCTTGCCTGTTTCGGGCATCGCCTGAGGTTCTAGGCGAACAGTTCAGCGAAATCCATTTTCTGTTTTTGTGGAAAAATGGATTCAGATGGCATGTGGATTTGCAGGCCATCTACCTATGCCTCGGATATGGGGTCAGTCAAGTCTCAGCACCATATCCCCTCTTTTGACGGGGCTGGTTTTCGGCACCCCCGGGTTGCGTCGGTTAGTTAGCCGTTTTTTTATCGGCTCTTGGTCATGGTCTCGTACAACAGTTCTCAGCAGTAGCAACAGCCAGATGCTTGGCTGGGCATCAGCAGCAAAAACGAGCAGTCCCCTTGTTACCATCACCAGAAGCGGCAACAACAATCGCAATCCTCTATCTACTTACATTCTCCTTGTTCAAAGAGAGCACGTGGGGGTGAGGTGGTGTTTGAGTAAAGCATGGGGGTAAAAATCGGTGTTCAAATAGAGTCGGGGGGGGGAGAGGTGTGAATTGTTACAAACACATGGCCCTACCATGTACATACGACAGGTGGGGACATCCATGAGGGAGACAAAACATTGTTTAGTGAAAAATGGATTAGATGCACAAGTTATAGTAGGTCAATCATCCATATATGACTAGTACAATCAAAGACTCAAGCAACGATTTACTAACAAGTGAGGAAATAGACAATGCACGAAGGAAAGATACTCTCAATACTAGTTGAACCAATATACAAGTAGCGATTCACTACCAAGCGAGGAATTGGACAAGACATGAAGGAAAATAACTCTCAACACTAGAATGAACAAAGATACACGTCGCAATTTACACCGAAGTGGAGAAATTCACAAAACATGGAGGAAAAGTGAGGGAATCTCACTCCCAATCTTGAAAACATAAAGATGAAAGTGACAATTTTCAACCAAGTGAGGAAATAGACAATGCATGAAGGAAAGATGTTCCCAACACTAAAATGAGCAAAGATGTTAGTAGCGATTCAAAGCCAAGTGGGAAAATGGACAAAATATGGAGGAAGATTGAGAGAATCTCACTCCCAAACTTGAAAACACAAAGTTGAAAGTGACGATTTACAACTAAGTGAGGAAATTGACAAAAAAAACATGAAGGAAAAAAACTCTCAACACTATAATGAAAAAAGAGGTAAGCAGCGATTTACAACCAAATGGGTAAATGAACAAAACATGGAGGAAGAGTGAGAGAATCCCACTTCCAAGCTTGAAAATATAAAGTTGAAAGTGACAATTTACAACTAAGTGAGAAAATGGACAAAATATGAAGAAAAAAAAAAATTGAACACTAAAACGCAAAAAAATGCAAACAACGATTTATAGCCAAGTGGAAAATTTGACAAAACCTGGGGTAAGAGTGATAAAATCTTAATCCCAAAGTGACGATTTACAACTAAGTGAGAAAATAGATAATGCATGAAAGGAAATAAACTTTCAACACTAGATCTAACGAAGATAGAAGTAACGATTCACATCCAAGTGGAAAAATGGATAAAACATGGAGGGATTTTCTCACTCCCAAGCTTGAAAACACAAAAATGAAAGTGGAGGTTACAACTAAGTGAGGAACTGGACAATGCATGAAGGAAAGAAGCTCACAACACTAGAATTAACAAAGATACACGTAGCGATTTACATCCAAGTGAAAAAATGGACAAAATATGGACGGAGAGTTGAAGAATCTCACTCCCAAGCTTGAAAACACAATAATGAACATAACGATTTACAACAAAGTGAAAAAATGGACAATCCATGAAGGAAAAAAACTCACAACAATAAAAGGAACAAAGATACAAGTAACGATTTACATCCAAGTGAAAAAATTGAAAAAACATGGAGGGAGAGTGAAAAAAACTCATTTCCAAGCTTGCAAATACAAGGATGAAAGTATCGATTTACAACTAAGTGACGAAATGGTCAACGAATGAAGAAAATAAGCTCACAATACTACAATGAACAAAGATACAAGTAATGATTTACGTCCAAGATAAATGGACAAAACATGGAAGGGGAGTGAGGGAATCTCACTCCTAAGCTTGAAAACACAAAGAGGAAATGGACAATGCATGCAAAAAATAAGCCCATAACACTAGAATGAACAAAGATACAAGTAGCAATTTACATCCAAGTGGAAAAATTGATAAAACATGGAGGGAGAGTGAGAAAATCTCACTCCCAAGCTTAAAAACACACGAATGAAAGTGACGATTTACAATAAAGTGAGGAAATTGGCAATGCATGAAGAAAAAAAGTTCACAACACTAGAATGGATAAAGATACAAGTAGCAATTTAAATCCAAGTGATAAAATTGACAAAACATGGAGGGAGAGTAATAAAAACTCTCCCAAGCTTGAAAATAAAAAGATCGAAGTGATGATTTATAACTAAGTAAGGAAATTGACAATGCATGAAGGAAAAAAACTCACAACACTAAAATGGACAAAGATGCAAGTAACGATTTACATCCAAGAGACGAAATGAACAAAACATGAAGGAGAGTGCGAGAATCTCACTCCCAAGCTTGAAAACACAAAGATGAAAAATGTCATTTACAACAAAGTAAGGAAATAGACAATGAATGAAGGAAAAAAAATCACCAAACTATAATAAATAAAGATACAAGTAACAATATGCAACTAAGTGAAGAAATGAACAGGACATGGAGGGAGACTGGGAAAATTTCACTCCTAAGCTTGAAAATACAAAAATAAAATTGGCAGTTCGTAACCAAATGAGGAAATGGACAATGATGAAGGCAACCTTTAGTAGAGGGTATACTAACTACTCTCGTTGTACTTGGAATGTTATTTATGGAGAAGAAAGAGGAAGGAGTGAAGAGGTGAAGGGAAAAAAGTCAAGATGAAAGTAGAAAAAAAAAAAAATGAGAAAGAGGGGAGTAGAAGATGAGGGAGAAGAGAAGGAGGATGAGGAGGAGGAGGAGAAATAAAAAGAAGAAGAAGAAAAAGAAGAAGAAGAGGAGGATGATGAAGAAAGAAAGCACCTTTTCATTTTCCTACTCACCTCCTTTAGTGTCTTGGTCTTGAGGTATCAACCTTGATGAAGTTCTCTCTTTCTTTCCACACTTATCTTCTAGTTATGGCTTCCTTTCTCCTCAAGCCTTCATCCTTCTCCTTCCCTCGGTCTCTTCCTGGTTATGGTAAACTCATATCACTAAGGCTTTGTAGTCCTCCCCTCTAAAAGGGTTAAGGGGACCCCTATCAGCCTCCCTCTCTTCCACACAGTTGGAGGGCTATGGCGGATCACTCCCCTAGGTTGGCACTTCCTCTACTAGCCTCGGTAGCTTTCCTCCCAAGTCTAGTGTCTCCCTGTAACTCCCCTCTCACTCCGGTTGAGTGTGGTGCTCTCTTGAGCTCATGCGAGCAGCATGCACTTGCGTCATGCAAATGTGAATGTGGCGGGTTGCTCCCTCAACTTATACAGGTTGGGCAGAACACTTCGGATAACCTATGAGGCTCTCCATGTGCCCCATAGTGAGAGAGACGGTTAACCGACCCCCCATTTCTCACCTCAATTTATAAGAAAACCATATGCTATTTCAAGCAAACTCCACACCAATTCATGGTTACTCAGGGCCGAAAAGTGGGGGTCCCCGTTAACCGTTTGTGAATAATGAACCGAGGTACCCGCAAGGCGTTTCCTCACTACTAGGTCTCTCTAGAAGCACGTGGACCTCTTTTTGGAGAAGTACATGCATTCCGAGTGGTTGGTACAAACTCGAAGAGCCTCTAAAGCCTCCTAGGCTCCTAATGCCTCATTTTTATTTTCGGTTGCTGCCTCTTGGGTCCGAAAAATTCTAGGGGTAGGCTTTTTTGAAAGAATTCTCGATTGTCTCTAGTCCTACCCCTTTTTGAGTTAACTCAAGTACCTTTTTATACCTTGGTTCAATTTCAGCCTGGAATCTGTCCGAGATCCAAGACCGATAATATTCCGAGCTAGCCACAACTGCCTCATGCTTCAGATTTGAGCACCATGGCTCCCTTTTTAAAGTTTTGGTGCATTTGGCTTCCGTTTTTTACCAAAAGTATTATCTCGTTTTTTCTTTTATTTCGTTTCTTTCCATTTTGGGCTGCCAACTCATGCCGAAGTTAGCCATTTGAGTTGACGCCACAAAAACGACCATATTGTCTCCTCCATGAGATTTGATCTCAGATCTATGGCCTAAAAAAAGAACAATAAACTTTTTTTTACTTTTTCTCTCATTTTTACCTTTTTAATTTATATATTGTCGAGATAATACCCCAAAAGCCTTATCTCTTCACTCTGTATTTGCTTCCACTCAGTTTCAGTTGACCAACTCATTTCCCTCCGCCTCTTTCTCCTCCTTTGTCACATTCTTCATTTTTTTTCTCTTCTCTTTCTATTGTTTTATTTTATTTATGATGTGACAAGTGTCAGAAAGTTGTTGAGTTTTTTTGTAGGTCATGGATCTTAATCTAGATCAAGTTATTGACCGTTATTTCTCGGATCACAATAATGAGCCCCCACAATCATAGGGGTTTCATTTTGCGTCTGTTAGTCTCCACTTTTGGCCCACATTGGTTCAATTTTTCCTTGGCAACCTATTTTCAGGATAGAGTCTCTTGAGACTCTATTTTCTC